TGCTCGGCCTTTTTTATGGTCCAAATTCTTATGGTCCAAATTCTTTCTTACGGTTTCAAATGCTGATAGGTTGGGACAAAGACACTCAAAAAACTAATAAGAACATGGAGAACTTGCAAGCAAAAATGTAAGGCCACAGGATTGCTTTGCTATTGATTCATCGTGGTACCTTGTTGATTGTCCAACAGAAATATGTTGCAAATTCAATACTGGCTGTTTGCTCTGGCTGATTTACGCTGAATTAAAAACCTGTAAACTGGGATCTGCGTTGCATTTTGTGAATTGTGAAACAGAATCATCTTCTCCATTTTTAAAAAAAAAAAGAATTGGACAAAATGCACAGTTCATCCTAGGTTGGGCAGATGGAATGGGCACTGTGCTTGGTTGTTTTCTTGCAAATATTTCACGAGTAAACTAGGTAACATCATCAAAACAGAGTGAAGTTTTTGTTTATGCACTAGTGGTTTGCCAAGTCAGCATTGAAGGGCTTGTTCTTGGTGTTTCCTTGATTAGACTGTTGTTGACTGTTTGACTGGGTAGTTCCCCGATTGAGGTATTGTTTTCTGCTTGATTGTTTGTCTGGTGTTAATCCCTGCTTATCTTTCTGTGGTATCCTCTGAGCTTGCTGGTTTTCTTGCAGACGATTCATTACCCAACTGGGTAACATCATCTTCAGAAGTTGTGGGTGCTCCATCACTGGAGGCTTTTAAGAAGAAATTGGACAGCCATTTGTCTGAAAAAGTATAAGGTTTCCTTCGTGATCAGGAGGTTGGACTAGAAGACCTTCCAACTCTGTTATTCTGTTATTCTGCACAATTGCAGAGAGCACCGAGGAGCCACCGTTCAACCCTGAGCAACGAACATTTTCTTCTACGAGTGCTTTTATTTTTATTTATTTATTAATCACATTAACTTGGACCTGTTCAGAGGTTTGGCTGCTCCTAAGCCCATCCATCACTTGCAGGAGGAAGCGAGCCGGTGCCAAAAACAGACCTGGGAAAATCAGCTGAAAAGAATCAGCAGGATTGACCGCCATCTCATGAAATATTTAATTCTCTCTCTCTCCCTCTCTGGATGAAGACGGGCCTCATTGTCTGGGGGGGTGAGAGGGGGGACATGAAAGATTTATGCCCCCCATGGAGGATTGGGAGGAGGGCATTGGACCGAGCCCCTCTCATCTCCTGCCCCTAGAAAAATGGTCCCTGCATACCTGTACCGCATCCTTGGCGAGGAGAGGTGTGAGTTCATTATCTTCCTTTCATTTATTTGGGCTGGCATATTTTCTCTGCCCGATACATTTATATCTACCTGAAGATCTATCATACCGCTGCTCCCTATCTCTTGTCTCAGCACGGTTTAACGCAGGTATTCCATCTTAGATCCAATTTAGGTCACCGTGTCTCCCGTTACTGATTAGATAGCCCGAATATTTCGGTGGGTATAAACATTTATATTCCAAAGATCACACGCGCGGAATGCCGTCGTGTTGCTGTATAAGTCAGTGATGGCAAACCCATGGTACACCTGCCACAGGTGGCACGCAGAGCCCTCCCTGCGGGCACACCAGCTGCCGCCTCAGCTCAGCTCTGCGTGCGCAACTCCCACTGGCCGGGTGGTCTTCAGGTCTCGGCCACGTATGCATGGGGCGCATGTGGGGGACACACGGTGTGGGAGGCGCGTGCATGGCGGTGTGCTCACATAGCATTTTTGGACCTCACGCAGCACCCCCGTGCCCCGTTTTGGCTTCCAGGTTGGTGCAGGAGGCGTTCCAGGCTGCACCCCATTTGGGGCATGAAAATCGGGCTTAACTACCGCTTTGCCAGGAAATGTCCCCCTGCGCCTTCTGATCTTGCACTTCTTGGGTTGTTCGATGCCCTGGCTGGTATCAGCTTTTGAGGGTGTCCAGCCACCCTGTTTGTTGGAGTCCCGGTTTCCTTGAACCGCTAACTCTTCCCAACCAAATTGCTTTCTCCAGAGAGTTCCCCCAAAATCACATGGCCAAAGTAAATGAGACACAATTTTGTGGTTTTGTTTTCCTTCCAGTGACATTCCTGGCATTACGTGCTTCAATACTTGCCTGTTGATAGCAACAATAGCAATAGTAGCAATAGTTGGACTTATATACCGCTTCCTAGGGCTTTCAGCCCTCTCTAAGTGGTTTACAGAGTCAGCGTATCGCCCCCAACAATCTGGGTCCTCATTTCACCCACCTCGG